CCCAAGAGTCCAACAAACACCAGCACAGAAACACAGCACCTCAAACATAGTTGATGGCCAATGAGTATTTGTTAAATAAACAGATGAAAAAATTAAGCCGATATAAACTTTTCATTTTTTAATTGCTTGTTTTGGTTTTGTGTAAATTTAACAAATGTGATCCTAAAATCTCAGACCCAAAATTTGTATGTTGACAGTGTTCATTTGGAATAGTAATGTTTTTATAGGATATGAAACCAGGATGCCAGGTTTTATATCAAAGTTTGGAAGGAGAGTGAGAGAGAATTCTTTAGACATAGTATATAATATGCTAGATAATCTTACATCTAGACTGTAAATTCTTTGTCTTGGTTAATGAACAAACTTATTTTTTACTATTTCAGGGTGGAAGGTGAAGGACAATATACTGACATCCGAGGATTAGAATGGTGTGGTAACTTTCATTTCACCGCTGCTCCAGGCCTGAAGCTAAAGCTCCAAATGTAGATATTCTGCATTTAAAGTTTTAATGTGGTAGTTGAAGCTTTTAGTTGTAAGGAAAACAACTGAATCTGTCTATATATCCTACCTGTCTATGATAATTTTGCCAATAAAGCCATCACTCATGCCTTTTTGAACATTATTTTCATCATTTACAATTATAATCAATTGTAAATAAGTTATGGGATTCAATTGAGAGTTTACTCACTTTAATAAACACAGTAGAACTATTTAGATCTTGGCAAAATCAACTTTTAGTCCTACGCCAGAGTATGGTCATATTTAAAAAGTACATAGGTATCTCTGCTTTTTAAAAGTTCCTGTTATGCCACTTCATTTTTATGAAAGACCTACTTTAGTAACTTTTCACAAACCAAAAATCCAAAGAGGATTTTCACTTTTACGACAAAAGGTGAAAAGCAAGTATATCTGTGAACATTTGTTTTGCAGCAGTGTAAGGCCTTAGTTACAAGCTTGCCCAGTCCTCAGAGCAGACAGAAAGCAGGTCACGAAGCCCTGTGTGGGGCCAGGAATAAGTCTTTATTATGAGGCAGCAGGAGACACAGGTAGCAATGGGGGCAGAGTCCAGCAGCGGCAGTCCCCTGGGCTCTGGCCATAGCAGAAGCTCCGTGGCCCAGGAATGTCCAGTGAGACCCCCACCACCACCTCAGGAGCCCTATTAGTTTTTATAGTTTTATAAGAGCCCTATTAGTTTATATATGCATAGACAAAGCCTGCTCAAGGCCAAGTTTAGGCCTAGTTTACAGAAGTGTGTTTCTCACACAGAACGACTGTGCAAGTTTACATTATTATTTACTGCTTTCCCATGGGAACTACATCTCAAAGCTACATGTTATCTACTAGGCCACCTGTGCCGGAAGACCGCTGGGAAAATCTCTGAGAAAACTCTGTTTTCCCACAGGCCCTACAGGCAGCCATTCTAGAGGCAGCCTGCACCCTGAGCAGTGAGCATGGTACTGCCAAGCTCCTTCCCTGTGGCTATTTTACACAGGCTATGTATATTCTTACTTTTTCTATATGTTGGTGTTATTTTTATATTCTTACTTTTTCTATATGTTGGTGTTATTTTTAGGTGTTTTCAATATTTTTTGTTCAATTTCTTTGAAAAATATTGTATTTTGATGGGGATTGTATTTAACTTATCATTTTAGATGGGGTGATAATTTTGATTATATTGATTCTCCACATCCATGAGCATCCATCAGCATGAATGTCCTTCCATTTCTTTAAGTCACTATCCAAATCTTTTAATAAAGTTTTGCAATTCTTGTTGTAAAATTCATTTTATCTCAGTTAACTCCAAGTTATTTAATTCCTTCTGAATCAATTGTCCGTGGAGTTATTTTTCTTTTGGTTCTTGGTTATCTGTATCTTAGAAAGCTATAGAATTTTGTATGTTGATTTTGTGACCTGTCACTTACTCTTTTCATCTATTGTTTCTAATAGCTTTTCAGTTTTCTAATGGCTATTTGTTTCTAATATCTTCTGGATCCACAATGATCCCTTCCTCCAAGCCAGCTCCTTGGTCTAAGTGTCTCATAGAATGTTGTGTCACCACTAGGTGATGAGAAAGCACCAGGCCAGCACCCAGTAGAGACTGTAGCTGAGACAGGGTTGCAGTCGAGAATTGTTCTTTTCTTTGCCAGTGCAGAGTCTTATCCCAGGGTGTTGTGTCTATGTTAACAGATTCTTAAACTCTACTTGATGAAGGTGTTCTTTCGTTGTTTCAGTTTTAGTGCTAAGTGGTGCGGGGGTGGAGGAGCATGTGTTCTGCATATCCCAGCCTTAGGCTGCAAATAGTAGAGATGGGTGAACTGACTTGATAATTCCCACTGGGCTGAGAGTCAGCTATTTTATACTGGAAGCCATAGCCTCAAGCCACTAATCCTCATTCTGTACCCCTGTCTCTTTATGTCTGCAATAGGGCATCCTCTGTCCTGGATGCCAACTCTGTGCATCCCCTTATCCAGGGCAGTGCCGTGTCTCCAAAGTCTCAGACGTTGACATGTGTCCCTGAATCAACAACTGTAGGGGGTTCCATATAGCCATCACCCCACCCTTCTCATGGGATGTGTTGCCCTGGTAGTATTGAAAACATGTAAAGGTCCCTTCATCCCTTTCTGCCAGACCATTAGTCTTGTACTGTGGTTGTTCTTTTTTCTTTATTCTGCAATTTAGTTGTGAGCATATGGATGAGGTGAGCCTGGTACATTTGCTCTGCTACCATCGTGCTGGACTCCCTGGACAAAGAATTTGAATGCATATTTCTTTAAAGAAGAGATACAAATGTCTAATAAGCAAATGAAAAGATGCTCAACATCATTACTCTTTAGGGAAATACAAATTAAAGCCACAATGAGAACCACTACACAATCACTAAGATGGCTATATTAAAAAAAAGACAGATGATAATGAAGGTTGGCAGGGATGTGGAGGAACTGGGGCCCTCATACATTCTTGGTGGGAATGGAAAACAGTACAGCCACTGTGGAAAACAGTTTCTCAAAAAGCTAGACATAGAGTTACCATATGACCCAGAAATTTCTGAGCATGCACTAAAGAGAATTGACTTGTTTAGGAATGTTCATGACAGCTTCCTATATAATAGCCCAGTACCAAAAATAATTCAAATAATCAATAGAATATTATTTGGCCATAAAAAAGAAATGAAGTATAGTCATCACTTAACACTCAGAAAGCACCTAACATTCCTTTTTTTTTTTTTAAAGATTTTATTTTATTTATACAAAAACCGGGGTACAGGCCAGAGGTGTGGAGGCTGAGAGGATTCACCAGACACAGAGTGGGGAACAGAACAGGCAGACTGAAGAAATACACTGCTCAGGGGAGCAGCGGGTGAGACAGGAGAGGTCTGCCCACCATTTGGGTTGCTCCGAGGCCGGCGGGGATTAAATCGACACACTGCAGAGGGTGCAGACAGCTTCATAGCGCTGCTCTCAAGCACCTGTGCCACCAGGAAGGCCCCTGCACCTAACATTCTGAGCAATACACTGTTAGGTGATTTTGTTGTTGTGAGAATGTCAGAGTGTATGATTCTCCAAAAAGTACTTTTCCATTTCCTAGCATAGCAATTCAGGAGGCATCTTGGATTAGGAGTTGTGTCATTTATGACTTCTTTTTGCTTCTGCAGTACACTGGCAGTGTGTGTGTATTGATGCTTGAAGGCTTTGTTCACCCCACTGTTCTGGTGACAAAGGGCTTAAATTTGTAGCCTGTAACTTTTCTGCGAAGGAAGACTTTTATTCCCTCATGAAAATCCTTAAAACCCGGCAGTAACTTGGTCTCATGGATGGAAATCTTTTCGGGTATCCATTTCCAGAACAAGGAATTTTCACCCATATTGAAGATTTGCTCTCTCAAGTAATTGTCTTCCACAATCAGCTTATCTAGAATTTCCAAAATTTTTTTCAGTTGCCTTTACATCAGCACATGAAGACTCATCACTGACTTTCACTTTATGTAAAGAACAATGATGTTGAGTTGTTTACACCCTTCCACCCCCAGTAAATTCAGCATCATAGTTGGGTCCTGCCTTTTCCTTCAGCATTGCAAACAAAGTTTCTGCTTTGATTATGGTCATGAGGGTGATGAGAAGAATATACTGCTGTGTCTGGTCTTCTATCCAGGTCATTAGAAGTTTCTCTATATCTGATCTAGGCCTTTCTTGAATTTTTTTATTCTCACTAATTTCAATGAAGCAGATCCTTTAATAGCTTCTGTCATTGTGTTCTAGTTCTTCAAGATCATAGCTATGCTGGGATGGAGCAGATCTAGCGATCTGTGACCACTGATTTTTCATTTTCACGATCCTTAATCACTTTTAATTTTGTTCCAGGTCAGACACTTGACATGACTTTTATTGGCAATGTTAGCCAGTGGATTTTGTGTATACATAGGGGTTATGACGAATAAAATATGAGATTAAATCAAGCACAAGGGGAAAATAATGCCAATAAGAGATACAGTGCATATGACACTACTGCCTGCATAAAATGATTAAAATATGTAGGGTATCACCAGGGAATAGGAATTTGGGGACCATAGCCTATCTTTATTCCATGGTTGACCCAAACATTGTTATGCTGTGGGTGTCTATTTTGACAAATGCTACATGAATGAACCTTGAAAACATTGTCTTAGGTGGCAGAAACCAGCACTAAAGGCCACATGTTGGGTGACTTTTATGTGACATATCCAGAATAGGCAAATCCAGAGACAGGACATAGCTAAGTGGTTGCCCAGGGTAAAGGAATTGGGAGGCATGGGGTTATTTTGGGGGTGATAGAAAAGTTCTAAAATTAATAGTGATGATTGAACCATCTTGAGAATATTAAAAATTATTCAACTGAATTGTTCATATTGAAAGATTTTATGTATAGTAAATGAGTTATTTATCAATTTTTTAAAAAGTAGATCTATGTGTCTACACATATTCTATGCTTAGAAAGCTTCTATACCTTTTAGATAAAGGTGTGTAACAGCTGCATATTAGATATTACAATGAAGACCTGAGTGGTTTTGCTGGAACTGTTTTTCCAAAACTGACAAAGAATGGTGAGTATAATAGATAACTTCTGTCAAATTTATTCATTCAAAATCTTGTGAACATTACTATTTTTCAATATGTCATTACCAAAAATATTTTTTATGTTTTTTTTTCTGTGCTACTTTAAAATCTGGGTCAAAATATTTTTTAAAATATTGAGATAAAATGTTATTTCTGTTAATTTCTCTTAATAGCTTTGTATTTCATTTCAAAAATCCTGTTTATAAATGATTCAAAATATATTTGAAAAAACTAGACATTTTTGGATTTGTTGCTTAGCACTAATTAGTATGGTTTTAGAATTAAATATTGTTCTACTACTTGATAAGGAGATAAGGACCTGGACAAACTAAGATAAGGTGCAAGATTGTTTTCAGGGACACATGATGCAAATTCAAAACATCTGGAAAATATAGAAAAATACCTGTTTTATTGCATACTCAATTTTCCCCAATATTTTTCCTCAAATTCTTTAAGGTAGCAAAATAAATACTTTGCCTTTTAAAACTTTAACATTTTATTGATATATAAATGAGTTTTCAATGTTAAGTTTCAAAATTTCTAAGACACCAATGTCTTTCCTCTTCAGCAGTTTTCTTTCTTTTACTCCTGGAAACTAAATGCAGTTCAGTTGTTTGATTAGTTGATGCTAGAATTTGACCTGAAGCTTATATAATTAGAAGACACACTAGTTTTCCTCATTAAAAAGCCTAGTTAGCATCTGACAGTCTCGTTTCTGGGAAAGTCAAACCTCTCTACTGCTTCTTTTTATAACCTTTAAATTAATTCTGAATTCAGATAAGCTTCCATCCGAGGATGATATAACCACTGCAGTCAACATGGGGTAAGTGAGTGCTTTATGTGCTTTGATAGGCATTGAAAGGGAAAATATTTTCATAGAAGAAATCTCATAAATTCTTACTAATTTAGATTCAAAATATGCTAACATTTATTAAGAGACATTTAAAGAAATAACTTTTCAAAAGTTATAACAATTTGCTTAGTCTTGCTTAGTTTATGTATTATGCCTTGATCTGCTTTTGCAGGTTGTCAACTAATGAAATGCTGGAGGACAGAAGAATTTGCATGTTTACATATTTAGTTGAAACTGAGTTAAATTTTGAGAGTTGTCTTAAAGAAAGGGTGACAAGATTTTTTTATTTATTTACAAGGTAGCAAAAATCCAACATGTATATGTCTCTTTTGGATTAAGAATAAAGAAGGAAGAAGACTAGGAATGGAGGAAAGTTGATTTATGCCATTTATAACATAGAAAAGGGAAAGAGGATTCATTCAGAGTTCACTATCTACAGAAGAATGGGACATTTGTCAAATAATTCTAAACCCATTTTAGAGTTTTGGGAGCATGATGAAAGAACTGGGTTTTACTTGAAAGCTTTCTAATCTTAAGTGAGAATAGATAATATTATAATTAGTATTAGAATTGTAGGGGGTTTGCATATTGAAGCAATAGTATTCTGAAAATACAAAAATTTACATTACACCTTTGTCTTTTTTTATAACTCATTTTAGTACAAAATTATATTGCTGCAAATAATATAGTCACTTCATTGGAGGCACTTCTGGAGAATTTAATATAAATGATCAGAAACTGGTACTAGAGAAATAAACTTTTACACCTATTTCTTCTAAACCCTAGTTTCTATGAATTTAATTTCCATGAATTCAGTATATATTTTTGTTAATATCCTGGGCTCTGAAAATGCGATCTAAACCAGTTTAAAATCTCAGAGGCTTTTGAAAGAAAGTTGATCATATTATTGTTAACTTTGAGTGCAAGTATATAGGTTAACACATAAGTGCCTTGTACAAATTTAATACACATTTGGTGGATTTGATTTTGGACACAATTGATGAGACTCTGGATTCTCTTTTCTTTCTTTCTTTTTCTCTGTGCATAAGAGTATATATCTCTGCCTGCCCCATCCTTCTTCCTGCCCTCCTTTCTTTATGGCTGTAGTTCTTAACCTTTCTTGAGGCAAGAATCACTTTAAAATCTTTAGAAAACAACCCAACCTCTCTGCAAAAAAATATATATAAAGTCACAGAAATTTTTGGATACTTTGAGATTTACAGATGGCCTGAAGCCCAAAATATGGACCTTAGGCTAAGAAACATTCTAGAGTGAAGTAACTTGCTTAATATTTTTCTCAGTTTCTGGATTTTTATAAAATAGAAGACACTTTCAGTTGATAAATCCTGCTAAGCTTCTCTCAGAGATAATGTTGAAGGAGCTGATTCTCCCGCTGATCGCCTCTCAACACAAATACACACGCACGATTTACATGAGTGTGCAGCACAGCTGTGCCACATCCAGTTTTGACAAGCACGTTACTGTCCCCTGTGACTTGATAGATCACTTGTGCTTTCACAAGAGCGGGAATCACCTTGGGATTGAGCGAAGAAGCAAAACTCATTATTTTATTTCTAAGTTGATTTCCATGTCCCAAATTAGATGAGCTAAAACATAAATTTCTATATCTTATACAGGATACTCTTCTGATAGATAGGTTCAAAATTCTGATGCTTTATGCGCCCCTTTTTGAGAAAAGAGAGGTTAGTAGCTATTAACACACATTTCAGTCTTTCTAAAATGAGAAAAATAAAAAAAATAGCAGCTAGTCAGATGCTCAAATTTGTACATTTGAGGAAATCTCTAAAATGTATCTATTGAGAAGGAAGAAGTAGCTGTTTAGGGTCTTCCTTTTTTTTTTTTTTTTTTTTTTGATGGGGATGGGAGAACACAATTTATCTCAAAGTTGTTTGAGAATATAATGAATATAATGCCCTTACATAGTTTTATGCTAGTCTTTTCCATTTTTTCCTCAGGCTATGTTTGTCTTGGTCTAGAGAACAATGAAGAGGCAAATATTAGAAAATCCTTTGCTCTCTAGGAAGCTCCTTCTCTTAATTTTCATTGGATTTCTTATGGAGTGAGTGGGTAGATGAGGTAGGTAGAAATGATGCCTAAGAGTAGTGAAAGGGATAATTGGGGAGTAGAAGAACTTCACTGTGTAAGGCACCCTTACACCTGCTACTATCACACCTGGACAATAGATGGACGATGAGAAAGAAAGGACGGTTGTGTTTCTTTTCCCATCTCTTAGTAGAATTAGGTCAGAATACCCCCAACTGACATCTGTGAATGGCTCTGCTAAAATTATAGAGCTAATAAGTTCATTACTATAATGTAACTTTCCTTTTAGTTTCTCAGTTCAAAGGAGTGTGCAGTAATTTGAAAAATTCCTTAATGGCTGTATTTCCACTTCTGAATCTGAGAATTTCAATGCAACTCTTTTTCCTGGGCAAAGCCTACATTGAGTGCAGGCAGTAACCTTGAAAATGTTGCTTCTGTCTGTGTCCTGCTTTTCCTCACAGTCACTTCCTGAATTCAGGCCATCATTACCTTCTATTTGGATTAGTAAAGATGCCTACTCTCTGGCCTTTTTGGAGCTCATCTGTCCTCTACCATGCCACGAGAGGCATCTTACTGAAGGAAGACGTGACCTAGTCATTCTGTTGCTTGAAACCTTTCAGGACTCTTTGGTCTCTCTCTACAGAGCCAGCTTCCAGGAAAATAGTCACTGTCCCCATCTCTGTCCTCGATCTACCCGCCTTTCCCTCTGCCCTACCCTCCTTGCTCCCTAGGGCCCCTGTGCCACCTATGCTTTGTAACTTAGTAGCTCTGTTTCTTTGCTGATGCTCTTTTTTGAAAAGACCACTTCTATAGATTGCTCAAAGTCCAGCTCAAATTCTATCTTCATCAGGAAACTTCCACTGATATCCACATCAGGAATACATTTTTTTCTACACTTGTCTTACTGCATTTATCACAGTCCACATACCGTAGTTGTGTGGCTCATCTTTCGACTAGGCTGTAAGCTCCTTGGCGTAGGAACAAATGTTTATATTTCTCCCAGCTGCTGGCACAGTGTCTTTTACATGATATGTATTTAAGACATGGTTGAAGTGAAATGGAGTTCTCCCTATAATCCATAAAAAGCTAAAAACCTTCCTAGAGGGTCAGCATATCCGTAAGGTTGGGTTCATGTGTTGATGATGGGAAAAACAAAACAGTCGTGGCTTGCACATGCTGGAAGCTTATTTCTCTTACATTACAAAAAACCAGTAAGCCCAGAGGGAGGCAGTCATCAATCAGAGCAGATCCCTGCCTGAGGAGCCCACTCCTCTTACCTGGACCTCCTGCCATCCTTGGTGTATTCTCCCATCCAGGAAAGTTGCTAGGATTCTAGCTGCCTCATTGGTGTTTGGCCAGCAGGGAGAATGGGAAGAAAACACTATGTTCTCTCTTTTAAGGCGACTTCCCAGAGGTCACTCACACGATCTTCTCTCCTTTATTCCTGTGGTTACACCTAGCTGTGAAGGAGGGGAAGAGGTGGAGTTTTACAATCAGGTCACTAAAAAATGGGGAGCATGGACACTCGGTGGCAACTAGCAGTGCCTGACAGAGCCAGGACTCGGCCTTACGTGGCCTCTTACATTCCTTAAAGGCAAAGAACAATGTGATGCACAAAAAGGAGTCTTTTAATAATTTTTTCTGTGAAGTTCTAGTGGGGCAACCAGGCACAAGGGAGGCAGGGGGATAAGGGGCCTAGCAGCAAGCCTCCCAGCCCCAGGGAATCCTTATGTTCTTTCTCTGGGATATCTCTCTCTGTATCTGTCTCTCTCATCATCTCATGGTCTGGCCTCTTCTGTAGTCACCCTGCTCATCTCCTTTTATCCCAGCCTCTAGCTGTTTATTCTAGACTCAGGTGTGCACACTTACACATGTGTGTGCACCCATACTCCATAGGTGTCTACAAACAGGCACACATGCCCCGTACCCACGCTCCCAAGTGCCTTCTGCAGCAACACGATTAAGGCCGCAGGTGATAGCCATAGAGGCTAGTGGTGTAAAAAGCCTGAATGAAAAAAAAAAGTCTGAATGATTCATTTATTCTACAGAAGTTAAGGGGGGACAAAAGATCAAGCCAACTGGGAGTAAACATACATTCACTTAGCATAGGGACCTTGACAAAATGACAAAAGCTAATCTGTGGCTCCCCAGTTACCCATATCCAAGCTCCTGTCCCCAGCCTTCATCTCCCTAATCATCACATCTGTACTGTGAGGCGAATATTTTTATTGCTATGCCAACTCTACAGATCAAGAAACTGAAGCCCAGGAAGATTCAGTTAGGGTCATACTACCCAACAGTGTTCAGATAATGAAAAATAAATAAAACATATACCTGATTGGGAAGCTTTTGTATTGCTCAGAAAAACCACATAAATCACAGTGTTCTCTAGATGGGTTTGCACTAAATTCTGGTTGTAGAGCCCTCAATTAGCCCTTATTGAAAAATCTATTAAAACCTATTTCACTTGTCACTTGAAGGAGGTGGTTTTGTTTAATGCGGGATGCTTAGAAAACCTCTAGATTTGTGGCTTTAATCATTTTAGGGTCAGATGAACTACCTGGAATTCTTCTGATTCAGCAAAACCCCAAGCCATATTGGAGTACTCCAAGTATGTTTTAAAAACATAGCAATTTATTTTTATTGGTCACCCCAAAGATACAAATAATAAGGTGGTGTGCCTACCCAAAGCTAAATGACTTAAGAATTAAGATTAAGAGAAACAAGAAGTTTTACTTTACATATTTTTTAACTATTAGAAAGTTTTCACAACAATAAATTTCATATATAAGACACACCTTTAGTTACGAAATCATAGAAATAAAAGGATGGTATAAATTACAAAGTCTCTGTCATTATCAATGGCACTTTATTTCTTGTAGAACCTCTAGAGAAATCAGGAAGACTTCACAAAACATGATGTGATGTCTACTGGTGAAGACAGGCCATATGGTGAGTCAACATTCCAAAGAACTTATTTCTTTAAGAGCACAAACTGAGAACATAGTTTAAAACGGTGTGCTTGTATTTGTACTTAATTTAAACATCATTCTTGAAATACAAGTATTATAAACTGCTTTGGAGAAGTTTGTTGCCCTTCTTTGTTTCAAACAAACACACATCTTACTTTTATTAGCTATCAGGTCTGTTAGCCACCTTACAAACCAGTCATATCACAGCAGAATTTTATTGCATATCTGATGCTTGCTCACAGTGTTGCTACAATACTGAGCATTGTTTTAATCGAGTTCTATTTTGGATGTCTTTGGGGATTGAAAAAAAAAAGCCTTAAGAAAGACAACATTTACTTTACATTTAACCAATATTTTCTGAGTCCTTATTGTATGCTAGCCTTTGTGACATAAAAGTTCTGCAGGATAGGTATTATCCTCATTTTTCAGTTGAAGAAACATAGGTTTGTAAGGGTTAAATAAGGTTTCCAGGGTCACAAGATGCAATGAGTAGCAGAGCTAGGATTTGAAACTAGATGTCTCCGCACTTAAGAAAGAAGTCTCATTGTTTAAAATATTATCATTAAGTCCCAAATATAAAAGGGTTCATTGTAAAAAAAAATTGAGCAAGAAATACGTCAAATTTGAAAGCTATTCCAATCCCTACTCCATCCCTCTTTCCATGCATAAGCGCAGTTAGTAATTTGAAATAAATTATTCCTTTTTTTTTTCCTTTTTGTCCAGTGTACTTTTCACTGTATCACACTTCCTGTCTACTTAAAAATATCAATGAACAGAAGAGGCTGAAATCACTATAAATCTTTATAATTCTTACATGTAGCATGCTCTATATTTTACTAGTATAAATATCTACATTTAAATAACAACTAAAATGATCATTCAGCTAACATTAGATATCTAACTGCAGAGACTGAAAGAATAGAATTTGCTCTTTTTTTCTTTGGAGTTCATAAACTAATGCAGTGGTTTTTCATTTATTTTTGAGAGAGTAAATATGGACTCCTTTGAAAGTCTGATGTGAACTCTGAAACTTCTCCCTAGAAGAAAATGAAGCTACATAAACTTGCTTATAATTCAGGGAGTTTGGGGACACACAAGAGTATATGGAGTAGAATTGATCTTGTGGAAATAAGATTTTAAATAAATGATTTAACACAAATACTTTAATAGAGATGCGAACAAGGTAGCATAGAAAAGCAAGGAGTTAGTCCACAAAGACATGTCAAGAAAGACCAGGAAGAGTGAAATGTGCAGAATTTTGAAAGACACTAGGAGTTCGACAGCTAGCCCAGAGTGCAGGAACATTTATAAAACCCATAGGTTAGAAAGAACAGGAAGTCACAGGACTGTCTTTTGACGGGAACCAGTGTGTGTATGAGAGTGTCTGAAGAGGAATTAGCAGAACTAGGTAGAGGACAGATCATGAAAGGGGTTGTCTATTGTGTTGGATCTTTTAGCCTATAGGAGTCATTGAAGGATTTCAATCAAAATTTTCATGAGTAGGTAAGAAGTCTATAATTAGTGCATGACTAAATAAATGATCATGGGGAGAATAATTTAGGTAATAAGATAAAAAATTAAAAGGAGGTAAATCAATTTGATTTAGGTTTGTTGGGGGATCATCGACGAAATTATATACTATTAAAGAAATATGGTGCCAAAATCAAATGAAAATCACTGGAAAGTCATTACTTTTACAGAGGAGATTGGGAGAATAAAGCTCATTTGTAAGATAAAATTCAAAATTTGGACAGCACATCGGCCCCCTCAGTGCATTGAGTCCCAGGTACAATCAAATTGATGTCAATCACTCTGAGTCTATCTTTCACCTTGGTCTTCCCCAGACACATGCCCTCTTACTTTCCATTAGCCCTTTGATTCCCATTGACCCTCTCACATACAGAGAGGAAGAGAGAGAAGGGCAAAATCTGCCAGGTTCTCTATATTTCTACACTGAGCATGTATTATTTTTAAAATTATTCTTATAATTTAGACTTTAAAGTAATATAATAAGTATAAACCAAGGTTTACAAATAATGTCATAGCTGATTTATTTCTACTTAGCCATATTAAACCTAATATACTAAATAATTAGTATACAAATACTAATATTTGTCTTACCTCCTTCTTCTTGGTAGTAGCTTCATAACTAGCACAAGATTATCAAGTGTCCAGGATATTTCACTTGATAAATATGTATTATTCACTTAAAATATTACTTAGATGCTAAACTTGTACCTATCTTACATATGTTATTTGTTTATGTGTGATACATTATACTTTTTTTTTTAATAGAAAAAGTATTTCATCTTTGCCGAGGGCAGTGCTCTGTTAGAGTTCTTAGTCTACGTGTTTTGAGAGTGAACATCTCTTAAAACAAAATTTACATTGATGTGTCCAGCTCCCTTTTCTAGCTTGTTAATTAATATGACAAATAAATGTGTGTTATTTTCTTTTTTCCACCTAACTTAATTGAGGTTTAATTGAAAAATCAAATTGTCATATACTTTAAGTGTACAATGTAATGATTTGATAGACGTATATATTATGAAAGAACTCCACCCATTGAGTTAATGAACACATCCACCACCTCACATAATTTTTACCTTTTGGTGAGAATATTTAAGTTCTGTTCTCCCAGCAAATTTTAATTTTACCATACAGATTTATCAACTATAGTCACCGTGTTATATATTGGATCCTCAGACATTCATCTTAATAGCTGAAAGTTGATATGCCTTGACCAACCGCTATTGTTTTCTTTTGGGAAAGAAATCCCAAAAGAACCATAAACATCCCCTGGAATTCAGTTCAAACATGTTGAGCTCCCACTCCTGCAAACTTTTCATATCAGATGAATGTGAACAAAAAATATGAATGTATTTATCTTTAAAACTCAAGATAATTTTACTCTACAAAATATCTGAGCATTTAAAAAAAATATATATATATATATACACACACACACACACCAATTTAAGAAATTATTGTTAAAGGGAGAGTGAAGCAGGTACATGCTTAAGTATGAAATTTTACCCCCAAAATAATGCACTTTTTTTAAATGAATGACAGATCAATAAAATCTGATTCAAAAATTATTTGCTATTGGGCCTCCCCTGGTGGTGCAGTGGTTGAGCGCTGGGTTGCGAGGCTATCTGCAGCCTCTGCAGCACCAGTTCGATTCCGGGCCACAGGCGAGGGTCCCAACAAAAAAAAAAAAAAAAAAAAAATTGCCATTGAGTAAAATTATTATTATACAAAGATGATATATATTTATCCTGGTGTTTAAAATCCAGCCCGATAGTTTGATAGAACAAGATACCCACCCACCAGGTGCAATAGATAAGAAAAATATATTGATCATGCCCTCCTGGAGCTTCTAGTATTGTGAAGGAAACAGACATAAAGACCATTGCCTACAATTTCCAGTAGAGAGAGGTGTTCAAAAGGTGATATGAGAATGTGGTAGAAGAGGGATTGACTGATGATGAGTTGGAGAATCAGGGCAGGCCTCATAGGAGAGGAGGTATTTGAATTGAGCCTTAAAGCATCCTTCATATGGATACTGTTATTTCCCATGAGAAATATTTCATTATGAAAGGAAAGATAATGGAGCATAGAGAACAGGATGAATAGAGGCAAGTGCTTGATGAAATGAAATGCATGATCTGTGATCATTTGCGCATCTATATCATGTATATGTATATATACTGTCTTATTTGAAATACTGCTAAATAGAGAAGCAAATCAATTAAGTTCAGTCATCTCAGCCACTAGCTGTTATAAGTAGCAATATCACATCAACTAATGTCTAAGTGCCTAGAGGACATATAGGGAGCTCCCCCTCATGCAGCCACTCTAGGGTTCAGATTAGCAGAGAGACCTCAGAGGCTGTGGTGAGGTGATGTGCAGAGTCCATGAGCTGGGCTTAGTGAGCAGGGCCTCCTGAGAAGATAAAATTAAGGCCCCACAGGTAGAACTGGATCAAGAGATCCAAGACAGGTTAAAAATCTGGCACTTGTTCAAATGAATTTTCTTTCAATAGAAAACACTTGAATAGAAAAGAGACAGATTCTTTGTGGAGGTCAAGTGGAAAAGAAGGGCCCCCAAGGACTTTACGGGGCCTACCGTCCCGGGTCAATAGCAGCGACTCCGGCTTCACGCTGGCTACACCACTCAGCTAAACCAAAATCCTGCAAGAAACCAAACTCAGCCTTGTTAGAAGGCCTTTTGCTCCTCAGACCTGCCATCAACCCCAATCTCCCTCCCTCCTTTCCTGTCTCTCCCCCACCCCCTCTCCCCCCTTTTCTTCTTCTCCCTCCCTCTCAGCATTCCTGTCTTTCAAATGAGGTAGCTTCTTTGAGCAAAGTCCTGGCAAATCTGCTTCTCTCATTTCCAAAGTTGTTTTGCTATTTCCAATAGATAAGTGAGTACAGGGTCTCCCCGGTGGCGCAGCGGTTGAGCGCTGGGTTGCGAAGCTGCCCGCAGCCTCTGCAACGCCGGTTCGATCCCCGGCTGCTCCCCGGCCACCAGAGGAGGGTCCCGCATGGCGTGCAGACCTCTCCTGCCGCCCGCTGCTCCCCTCAGCAGTGTACTTCGGTCCTTCTGCCTGCTCTGCTCCCTGCTCTGGCTCTGTGAATTCTCTCACTCTCCTGCGCTTCTGACTGTGCCCAGTGCTTGTATAAATAAATAAATAAATAAATCTTAAAAACAAACAAACAAAAAAAACCACTTGAGTGAAAAAAAAAAAAAAAGATACGTGTGTGTACACAGTACCTTAATCCAGTTCTAACCGGACTGACATTACCAAACAATTGATTGCTGGCCGCTCACACCCTTCCAAGCAGGACCCAAAGTGCTGCTTTGAATGCAAGCTCTGGCTTCTGGCCCATGAAATGCAAGCAACCCCTGAGAGGTGCTCGCTTCTGAGCTAACTGCCTCAGATCACAGGGTAAACTTAACCCAAGGTTA